ATAGAATAGAACAGAATAGAACAGAATAGAACAGGAGTGGAGTGGAGTAGAAGAGAATAGAATAGAACAGGAGTGGAGTGGAGTGGAGTGGAATAGAATAGAATAGAATAGAATAGAATAGAATAGGAGTGGAGTGGAGTGGAATGGAATGGAATGGAATAGAATAGAATAGAATAGAATTCTTTACTGGCCAAGTATGATCAGACACAGAAGGAATTTGTCTTGGTGCAAATACTCTTAGTATATATGAAAGAAAAGATACATTTGTCAAGAGTCAAGAATCACCGGATACCACACTTAATGATAGCAATATGGTACAATAAGCAATCAAATCATACTAGAAAACAGTCAATATAAAAATATATAAAATCAAGGCAACCCACACTGAAACAAAACAGTTGAACATGGGCATGTATGGTTTTTCCTCACCTCCCTGAACCATTTATTTATTATTAAATTTGTTTATTGTTCAATTTATATAGCGTCCTCGCCTCACAAACATTTGTTTAGGGAGCGTTCAAAGTTACAACTGCCCTGGGAAAAAAATGACTTATGACCATTTTTCACCCTTACGACCATTGCAGCATCCTTGTGGTCCCCCGATTATAATTTGGATGCCTGGCAACTGACTCATACTTATGACGGGCGCAGTATCCTGGGGGGGGGGGGCGTACGCCATCCTCTTTTTGTGACCGCCTGACCAGCCAAGTCAATGGGGAAAGCAGATTCATTTAACAACCGGTGTCACCAGTTTAACAGCCGCGGGGATTCGCTTAATAACTGTGGCAAGAAAGTTCGTGGAATGGGGGAAAAGCACACTGCTGTCTCGCTGAGCAACAGGCATTTTGGGATGAACTGTAGGCCGTAACACGAGGACTGCCTGCACCACCCGTCTTGGGGAGTCCATGGGCAGCTCCTTAGCAAATGAAGTTCCCCAAAGGAGGCTGACTTTGCAGGGAGGGAGGGAAGGAAGTAGGGAGGGGGAAGAAAGCCCCCTCCCAGCCATTTAATTTGTACTACATACCCCATCATCCACAGGCTGGGTTGTGCACAGACAGGGCAGGAGAGGAAACTCTCCCACTTCTTCCCCCACTCCCTTTTGCAATAATCTTGCCCATCCCCTCTCCCCCCACTGCCAGAAGAGAGGGGAGGGCCCCTTCCCTGTGAAGTCTCCCTCCCCACAATTTCAATGGACCATAAGGGGAGGGGCTTCGTCCTAGAGGGGAGGAGACTGGCCCAGGGAAGACCCCCTTCCAGGCCTCCCTTCACAGGCAGGGGTGATGGGGTGGAGAAGGGAGGGCTTCCAGTGAAGCCCCCACCCCCACCCCATTTCAATGCAGAATGGGGGGGAGGGGCTTGCCCAAGAGGGGAGGGGAGGGGAGACGCTCAGGGAAGAGCCCCTTTCAGTCCCCCTTGACAGGCAGGGGTGATAGGGTGGAGAAAGGAGGGAAGCCCCCCCCACCCCATTTCAATGCAGAATGGGGGGGGCTTGATCCAAGAGGGAGGGGAGGGGGCAAAGAGACGCGGGGAAGACCCCTTCTAGTCCCCCCTTCCCAGGCAGGGGTGATGGGGGTGGAGAAGGGGCGGCTTCCAGGGAAGCCCCCCCCCCCCCCCCCTCAGAGGGAGGGGTGCCCCCACTCCTTTCCGAGCCCCGGGAGCGGGAGAGAAAGGCGGGATCCCGGCCTCCCCCGTCTCCCCAGGGAAGCCACGGAGACTCCGGGGACTTTTTCCCCCCCTCCCGCCGGGCCTACCTGCAGATCCCCGCCCGCCGACTCCAGGAAAAAGCGCGCCCGCTCCTCCTCGGCCCCGGTCACGGCCACGAACTCCCTCAACGCTTCTTCGCGATCCGCCATCTTGCCCGGTGCAACCGTCAAAGCGCTCCGGCCGCGCCGCAACTGGCCGCTAAAACGCCTCACGCCGCTTCCGCCCGTCTTCGAAGGCCACTTCCGGCCCTCGCGCCCTTCCACAGGGGTCGCGCTCGGGCCCCTCCGAATGGAAACCTAAAAGCCGCGCGTGGAGGTTCCGGCCTGGGGTTTGAGATGGGGGGAGGGGGGAGGGGGTTGTGGGATGGGAGAGGTAGATGTGACGGTACAGTTAGATTGACCGCCTTAATCTCTGCTATCTGAGGGGTCCCGGGTGCTCTGTGAGTTGGCGGGGAGGTTCTTGCAGGCGTTTCATGACCCAACTAGGTAACATTATCAGTGCCAGATGTGATTGGGTTGTGCAGAGAGAAGGGGGATGGGGAGAGGAGGGGGAGGAGGACTGTGGGCTCCTTGCTGCTCTCTGAGCTTGGTGGTTTTCTTGCAGACGTTTCATGACCCAACTAGGTAACATCATCAGTGCTTGAAGGTAGTGGAGTGGAATGGATGAGAAGAAAAAGGGGAGGAGGAGGAGAGGGAGAAGGACTTTGGGGTCCTTGGTGGGCTCTCTGAGCTTGGTGGGCTCTCTGAGCTTGGCGGCTTTCTTTTCAGACGTTTTGTGACCTGACTAGGGAACATCATCTGTGCTAGAAGGGAGTGGGGTGTGCAGAGTGGAAGAGAATGGGGAGAAAAGGGAGGGGAGGCCTGTGGAGTCCTTTGTGTTCTCTGAGTTTGATTGTTTTCTTGCAGGCGTTTCGTGACCCAACTAGGTAACATCATTAGTGGTAAAAGAGAGTATGGTTTGAGGAGGAGGAAGAGAAGGAGGAGGACGATAGTGAGGTCCTTAGTGCTCTCTGAGCTTGTTTTTTTTTTTCCTTGAGATGTTTCATGACCCAACTAGGTAACATCATCAGGGTTAAAAGAGAGTGAGGCTTGCAGAGAAGAGGAGGGAGAGGAGATGTTCTCTGAGCTTTATTATTTTCTTGCTGACATTTCACTACTAAGCTCAATAACATCATCAGTGCTACAGTGAACACCAAGGGCCCAACAGTCCTCCTCCTCCTCTCTGTAAATCCCATTCCCTATGACCTAGTTGGGTCATGAAATGCCTGCAAGAAAACAATCAAACTCAGAGAGCACAAAGGAAGCCACAATGGATGAGAAGGAGGAAGAGCCACTTCCTCCTCTTCCTCCTCCACTTTATCCTCATCTTTCCCACTTCTCCTTCGCAAACCCCACTCCCTTCTAAGACGGAGGATATTGCCTAGTTGAGCAACGAAACGCCTGCAAGAAAACAACGAAGCTCAGAGAGCACCAAGGACCAATATTTATAGCTGAGCTATAAATATTCTCCTTTATCGGTCACTGCGCAAAGGATGCTTCTCTCATCTGTGGGTGCACAGTTTAGTCCTTCTCAAGATGCCACCTTCCCAAGCTTCAGGGAATAAAACTGCTTGAAGTCCAAAAATAAGACAGCAGAGATCAATAAAAGAATATTTATAGCTCAGGGTTGAAAGGATGGATGCTTGGTGCTCTCTGAGCTGACTTGTTTTTTGGCAGATGTTTCATGACCCAACTAGGGAACATCAGTGCTCAAAGGGAGGAGGGTTTATGGAGAGGAGGAGGAGGAGGACTGAGGGGTCCTCAGTGCTTTCTGAGCTTGGTTATTTTCTTGCAGATGTTTCATGACCCAATACTGAAAAGCCAAACCATTAGAAAATAAATTCAGAGCAAGCTCCACTCCCCACTATTTCTGATGATATAACCTAGTTGGGTCATGAAACATCTGCAAGAATAGGACCAAGCTCAGAGAGCACCAAGGACCCCTCCACAACAAATGAAGTTGGCTAACTGAAGAACACATTTCAAATCCAATATATGTATGTAGATTTTCTTCCCTATCTTAAGGTTGTTCTAACCTTGTAGCTGCATGAGACCTATCTTTTACTTATGCATAAATAAAAAGATATTACTCGGCCTTCCCAGTTCAGATCCTATCCTGCAAAGGTCACACTCAACTAAAAATCTTGCAATGGTTTATAACTAACAGTTTATTCCTCATGGATATGGAAGAACTGCACACACTTCTCCAGCCACTGCCATCCCTCCTCTTCTCCCCCCCTCCTCTGAAAGAAGGATCTTGGAATATTTTTATTTATTTCTTTATTAAACCAATTTATCTAACTACCCAGCTTGCATGTAGGTGACTCCAGGTAGCCGAGAAAATGTAATTTCGTGTTTCGAAATAATGTTTATTCTTATTTGGACTGATTTATATAGCTGGAAAGTTGCTTGAGGTGGATTTTTTTTCCTGAAAAGTGAAATATAAACAAGTGTAACACATAAATATTTTATTTTCAGCATCCTGTTCTGCAGATACATTCACTCAGCCACTTTACATCTGGAAGGACTGTTTTCATTTTAAAGTGCCTTGAATTTTCTTTCTGAATAAAAAGGCAGCATATAAATCGGATTCTGCATTGTCCTTGTTTCTAGTGCGGGTCATCTTCAACTTACAACAAGTGAGCCTCAAATTTCTGTTGATAAGTGAGACAATTATTATGTGAATTTTGCCCTGTTTTACGACCATTCTTGCAGTTGTTAAATGAATCACTGCAGCTGTTAAATTGACTTTGCTTGTCAGAAAGTTGTAAAAGGGCATCACATGACCCAGGGATATTGAAACAATCATAAATATGAACCAGTTGCAAAGCATATGTTGCATGTTATGTGTTTGAATTTTGATCAGGTGACCATGGGGATGCTGCAACAGGTCATAAGAGTGAAAAACAGTCATAAATCACTTTTTCAGTGCGTTGTAACTTCAAACTGTCACTAAACGAATGGTTAAGTGGACAACCATCTGTAGATGATCCAAACTTAAGCAGAGAATCGAGTCTATTTTTCTACCTCTATGTTTTTTTGCTGTTTCATCCCTGAAGCTTGCGCTGCGCATCATTCTACATTTTTTCTATCTCTCTCGAGAAGTCCTCCTCTTCCCCCCCGACTTTATCAATCACAGGAGATGGGCGGGCTGGCGCATGCGCCCCGGGGAAGGTACGCCCAGCTGTTTACGCCTCCGCGGCGTGTCCCCGCAGGCGATTGGCGGAGGCGGCACCTACGTAGGCGGAAGGCGGGACCTTGTGCGTGGACAGGGGGAAAAGGAAGACACGGAGTCCGGCAGGCCGCCGGGATGAGCCTCTGCGGTGGCCGGAGACCATGACCCAGCCGAGACCGCCACGGCTGCATGACAACGCGGAGCGAGGTACGTAGGCGGGCCCGAGCTGGACCGCCCGCCGGTTGGCGATCTCGGGAGACACGCGAGGCCTGAGGGAAAAGTTGACGCTGCGGTGAGGGAAAGGGAAGGGGCGTGGCCGCGCGGAGGCCCCGCCTTTCTTATCCTCTGACGGGGCAGAGGCAGCCAATCAGAAGAGACGGCACTGCCCAGAGGCGGCCAATGAGGGACTTGTTTGGCCCCCCTCCTTGAGCCCCCAGGCAGGCAAGGCGAACAATTGGGCGAGCGTCTCGCCTGGGTTAAAATTAGAATTAGAATAGAATAAGCTGGAAGGGACCTTGGAGGTCTTCTAGTCCAACCCCCTGCTCGAGCAGGAGACCGTAAACCATTTCGGACATATGGCTGTCCGGGGTTAGGGTTTAGGGTCACAGCCTGGTTGTGGTTATGGTGAAAATAGGCGGAAGGCATATCCGATATATTATTGGCTGCCTTGAGTTATTGTAAAGAAATAATCGTGTGTGTGTGCTTGTGTATCTGCACGTACTCCTCAATTTACAACATGTAGTAACACACATAGTCAACATTCAACATATAGTAACACATGTAGTCATCAACTTACAACATGTAGTAACACATTAACTTACAACATGTAGTAACACACAGTCCTTGGCTTACTACATGTAGTAACACATCCTCCACTTACAACACATAGTAACAGACATAGACCTCAACTTACAACACGTAACACACGTCCTCAACCTACAACATCTAGTAACACTGTCCTCAACTTACAACATGTAGTAACACTCAGTCCTCAACATGTATAACACATAATCCTCAATTTACAACACATAACATGCATATCCTCAACTTATATGTAACACACATAGTCCTTGACTTACAACACATAGTAACATGTCCTCCACTTACAATACATAGTAGCACATGTAACAGACATGTCAACCTACAACATGTAACACACTCATAGTCCTCAACTTACAACATGTAGTAACACCCAGTCCTCAACTTACAACATGTATAACACACACAGTCCTCAATTTACAACACATAGTAACACATGTAGTCCTCAATTTACAACATGTAATAACACACACTCATAGTTGTCTTCTTACATCACGTAGTAACACACACATGGTCCTCAACTTACAACACGTAACACACACACATAGTCTTACAACAGCTTACAACAGCTCATTTACTGACCATTCAAAGCTACAAGGGCGTTGATAAAAGTGACTTATGACCATATTTCACACTTACGGCCATGGCAGCATCCCCACAGTCATGTGATCAAAATTCAGACGCTTGGGCAATTGACTTGCATTTATGATAGTTGCAGTATCCCAGGGTCATGCGATCCCATTTTACGACCTGACAAGTAAAGTCAATGGGGAATTCAGATTCACTTAACAACTGTGTCACTCACTTAACAACTGTAGTGATTCACTTTACAACCATGGCAAGAAAGGTAGTAACATGAAGCAAAATTCACTTAAATGTTTCACTTAACAGTAGAAATTTTGGACTCAATTCTGCTTGTAAGTGGTGAACTATGTGTATGTATGTACCTCTCTCTGTGTGTGTATACGGTATATACTGTTTTCTTAAGTTTTCGCGGGTACTTACATGAATGGTATTCAGCTTTGTTTGGGTATTTTCCCATGTCATTATAGTTGTGCTTTTAAAGTTGTAGCAACTTTTCGGCAGAATCTCATCTGCCATCATCAGGCTTCTGTATTGTGTTCGTCTGTGAGTCAGACTTTCACAGCCATTTCAGTTTTAAATTTGGGGCTAGCCTACTGCTGTGCCAGAATGGTTTTTTCTTCATCCTGATTGGTTGGGAGTCTTGGTCTGTGTTTATTGGTCTCGGAGTTTGCTGTGTTCTGCTTGATGGGTGTCTCTGATATCTTCTGTCTGTTTTTTGGTTCTTTTTGTATCTTGATTGGCTGGCAGCATTGTGTTACTTTAATGGAGGCCTTTAGTGCAGCTTGGCTTCGGGTGAATGGACGGCTATCATTAGTTAGGAAGCTGGGTTTCATCTGGGTGCCTGGTTGGGGTGTGTTTGAGCTGGAGGTATCAGGGGGGATCTGTTTGTGCCCAGGTGTTTGCATGGCTTGTGGTGTGGAGAGTTTTTTGTTTGTGAGTGCAGGCTTCCAAATAATTGACAGTCTGGTGGAATCATCTCTTCTGTTCATGGTTTCTGGTCTTTTTTCAATCTCTATGGCTTCTCTGATAATTCTCTGGCTGGGGTTTTCTATAGTGGCTAGGGTTTTGGTGCCATTGAAGTTGATGCTATGACCTGAGGCTTCCATGTGTTGGACTAGTGAGGAAGTGTGTTCCAGCTTTTTGACTGCATTTTTGTGTTCATCCAGGCGGGTACTTATTCCTCTATTGGTCTGTCCAATGTATGTGGCCGGGCATGATGCACAGGGGATTTCATATATGCCTTGGTTTTCCAGGTCAGTTTTATCTTTGGGGTTTCTAAGGATGGCTGCTATTTTTCTGTCTGTTTTGCAGTCTTGATGTGATGCCTGTGTAGTATCTTACTGATTTTGTCTGTAGTACCTCTTATGTAGGGCAGGACAGCTGTTCCATAGGTCTGTTCATCTTCTGGGTTTCTGTTATGTTTCAGTGTGTTTTTGTGGATCAAGCTGGTGATTTTGCTTTTGTGGAAGCCATTGGCTGTCAGTACTTTGGTCAGGGTGCATAGTTCAGTCTTTATGTGTGTCTTATCTGCAAGTAGTGTTTTGGCCACAGAGTTTATCTGTGCTGGGTGGTGGTGGGATTGGGCGTTGAGGTAGCAGTTGGTGTGTGTTTTCTTCTGGTATATGGTGTGTCCTAGTGTGCCATCTGGTTTTTTGTAGATTAGTACATCTAGGAATGGTAGTTGTTTGTTTGTTTCCGTTTCCATGGTGAACTTGATTTTGGGGTGTGTGCTGTTTAGGTGTGTTAGGAAATTATTTAGGTTTTTTTTTCCATGGGGCCAAATCACAAATGTGTCATCGATGTATCTTAACCATAGTTTGGGTTTGTGGGTGGCATTAGCCAGGGCTCTGGATTCGAATTCTTCCATGAACAGGTTTCAAATGATGAGTGACAGTGGTGATCCCATAGGGGCTCCTTCAATTTGCTTGTATCTTTGTCCTTTGTATATGAAATATGTGTTGGTTAAGCAGTGTTCTGTTAGTTCCATGAGGTGTTTAGCTGGTTGGTATTTATTTTTGATGATTTCAAGAGTTTCTTTTATCGGGACTTGAGTGAATAGTGAAACCACGTCGAAACTTACAAGCAGATCTTCTTGTTCCACGTGTAGATCTTTGATCATTTCCAAGAAGTGGTATGAGTTTTGTACATGTGAAGCTGCTGTTTCAGCATGGGGCTGTAGCTGTTTTGCTAAGTGTTTAGCTAGGTTTTGTAGTGGTGCTCCTCTGGAGCTGACTATGGGTCTGAGAGGTATGCCTTCTTTGTGTATTTTTGGGAGGCCGTATAGTTTGGGGCATCTGGAAGATTTTTCTCTTGGGATGATCGTCTGTTGGATCTCTTTCCTTGTGTGGCTGGTTATAATTTTCTTCTTGGTTAATTTTTCCAGATTTGTGGTTGGGTCCGTGTTTATGGGTTTGTATGTGGAGTCTTGGAGTAGGTCTGTCAATTTTGTTTCATAGTCTTTTCTATCCATTACTACTGTGGCATTCCCTTTGTCTGCTGGAAGTATGATTATGCTGCTATCCTTTTTTAGGGCTTGCAGCGCTTTTAGTTCTTCTTTGTGCAAGTTGCTTTTGGGTGGTTTGCTTGTGCATAGGATGTTAGTAACTTGGTGTCTTATTCTATCAGCTTCATCTGTATTTAATTTAGTTAGGCTGGATTCTACTGCACATATGATGGATTCTGTGGGGATTTTTTTGGGTGCTATAGCATATATATATACTGTTGTATATATATGTGTGCGTGTCTGTGTTTACACATGTACAGATACACATGCACACATACACATGCATTTAATATATACTTTGTGATTTCCTCCTGTTCTTTTTCTGCTGCTTCCCTGTACTGTCACATCCACTATGCAGACTTTTTTATTTTCTTACTGTGATTATTCTTTCTACCTTTTATTGATTTTGTGTGTTTTATTGATTTTGTGTTTGTGTGTGTGTGTATGTATTTTATACATACATACGTGTGTGTGTGTTTGATGGGGGGGGCAGAGTTTCCTCATCTTACAACCAACAATTGAACCCCACATTTCTATTACTCACTTTGTTAAATGACTGGCTGAGTTTTGATCACGTAACCATGGGGGAATGCAGCAGTGGTCGTAAGTGTGAAAAATGGCTATAAGTCACTTTTTCAGTGCTGGTGTAACTTCCAACAGCCACTAAACAAACTGTTGTAAGTCAAGTATTACAGGTTGGTATGTAGGCAGGTAGAAATAGAGAGAGAGATGTTATCTAGACCTGATAATGAAATGTTTGGAAACCAACCCACAACCAACTTCCACCCTCATAGAGATATATGGATATGGATGGATGTTTGTGTCTGTGTGTGTTGGAAAAAAACCCTCAAGGCAGCAAACATACCTAATACTCCTATTTTCCCTAATTTCCTATTAAATCTTCTACATACAGTATGTGACCCTTTATTTTTGCTGGCCCTGGCATACTTAATGGGAGAGAAATCCAATCCACAGCTTTCCGCCAAGGTAATATTTGGGGAAAGAAAGTGTCATGCCCCTGTTGGAGACTGACTCCAGGGAGAGGAGGAACAGCGGACAAGGAGTAGAAGTGTGGCTTCGGAGGCTGGGGAAGGGCATAGGCTGGCTGGGCAGTCAGAGGAGGACCCAGGCCCACCCCCTCTCCATCCTAGGGCACACAGGGAGGAGGGGATAAGGGAGAAACGTGAATGGTGTGGTCTACGGGGGAGGAAAGGGCCTTGATCCCCTTCATGGGTGGCAGCTGTGAGAACTATTTAAAAGGACTGGACTGTGCATAAGCCAGTGCTGGAAACAAAGCGTG